ACTATTATTATTACATTTACATAAAAAATTGCTGAATAATTATTTGTTTTTGTTTTAATAGAAGTAATAACTATATTATTAAATATAATAATATAATCAATTTGTTAACAAACAAAAAATTATATTCGATGATATTATCATTTACGGTTTATGGGTTAGGTTAAGGACTTTCTGCACTGTGATCAGCTTGATCTATTGTACACATATTATTATTTAATATTTATTATTTTCATAGCACTTGTGCAGAAATTCCCTCTTATCTTTAACTCCAAAAACAATAAAAGGGTTATTGTATTAAAATGTTTCCCATAAAATTATTGAATATAGAAATCCCTAGAATGTTAATGTTTGTTCTTGCATAAAATGAATCCTGAATTATTAGTTTTTGTTAAGACTTTTTGAGGACCATTAAATCAATATCTCGCAAACCAAGCTGTAACGACATTGTAGTGAAAAGGTTTCTTAGAATGACAAATTTTACATGAATCGGTCGTAAAACGGTAATGTCAACGGACTCACTATCGTGAAGTTTCCGGATTATAACAAATATGAGGGGTCAACTAATTTTATTGAATGAAACATTTGACACTTTACACGTAATATCGCAGAATCCACAAAAACCCCAATAAATTGTTTTGGTTATTAGATCTTTGAGCTGTGCCCCTCGACTGGTCTCGTTATTAATGTAGGATTAGGCAAATTACCAGCTATAAACATAAATATTTATCAATACAATTTCATACAAATGTCACATATAAAATATTTACTTAACTATTTTTAAATAATAAGTTTTATTCTTTACTCTTAATTATTATTTATTAACTCTAACTTTATAACGAAGAAATGATAATTGAAAAAGATTCCCAACACATTTTAAAGCAACTAAAAGTTGTAAAAATAAAATTTAACAACAATAAACGTGGAGATAACAAATTACTTCATACTAAAACGAATAATTCAGTCTTCTGATAAGATATTATGAACAATCTTTTAATAGCTCAATTCATAAATTATCTATTTAATATTTTTGGCGCAGGATATAAAATGAAATGACAATATATAATTAAATTAAAATTTTTTTTATTACTATGGCATCATAATTTAATTAATTTTAAATTATTATATTTATTTACACTTACCTAAACTGTTTGTCCAAATGCCATAGAAAAGTTCTACGAATGCAAAACTTAAATTTAGCAAAAGAAATAAAAATAAATTTCTTGAGTTTCTATCCGAGAATATGAGCCTCTTCCAGCTGTTAATTTTTTCCTTAATCCGATGGCCAATATTGTTGCGGTCCCTGTGTGTCAGCGGCAACATAGCAATTTGTTTAAAACTTGCTATTTGTTATTTTACAAAACTGCTTTACAAGTTATTTGTATATGTATTTATGCTTGAGTGCTTCGAATTGCATACGTGGAGTTTATGTGCTTAATCCCTTTAAGCTTTAAATTAACAAATAATTTGGATGTTCGTGTACTTATAATTTATATTAGTTGCCAATTTAGTTTGAATTATCCTTAATTAAAATAAATATTGGCACTAATTTATTTCATTTATAATTTTGTTAAATTCCCCATTTATAACATTGTTGTTTAATCTTAATATTGTTTTATTTTAACCTTAATGTGCAAAATTAAGAATTCTTCTTTACTTTCTTTTTTGTAATTCTCTTTCTTTGACAGTTCTTTTGTAAACACATTTTGTTGTTGTTGCCGTGACAGCCGCTCACAGAAGAAGATAAAACAGAACATAAAATCATTATTACACTTTCCGAACGCTTTCAGCTGTCAAATGTTTGTATGCTGATTGTGGTAACACTGACAATTTCCGACTTCCATCTTTTTGCATTAAGGTTACCGAGATGGTAAGTTGTGCGGTGTTAGTAAAAGAATATTTTAAAATGTTTTATTGTACTAAATAATTAAAGTTTGTGGTTAAAAAGAATTCCCAATACTATTTTATTTATATTTCAACTAAAATGTAGCATTTTATAAGTGTTTAAATTATGTTGAGCTGCAAAAATTTTTGAAACTAAACGTGCGTGGTTGCTTGTCAAATGACAGCCAACAACAAATACCACACGCATAACCTGCAATTTACCAAAAGTTGAAAAAATCAAATTAATAACAAATGTTATATATTGAAATTACATTTTAATTGAGATTTAAATGAAATAACATTATCTACATTGCAAAAAGATTAAAAAATATTTTTTTTTATTAAATTATAGCCGCCTAAGAAGGATACAAAGTCCTCGGCTAAACAGCCACAAAAAACTCAAAAGAAGAAGGAAGGTAGCGGCGGCGGTAAGGCTAAGAAGAAGAAGTGGTCCAAAGGCAAAGTCAGGGATAAGTTGAACAATCAAATTCTTTTTGATAAAGCCACCTATGATAAACTCTACAAGGAGGTACCACAGTACAAATTGATCACACCCTCAGTTGTATCTGAACGTTTGAAGATTCGTGGTTCATTGGCAAAGAGGGCTTTGGTTGAATTACGTGATAAGGGTATGTTTAAAAAGTTTGCTTTTATTGTACTTAATTTAATATAAATTTTTTATTATTAATTTTAGGTTTGATTAAACAAGTCGTGCAACATCATTCCCAAGTTATCTACACTCGTGCTACCAAAGGTGATGATGCTTAAATGTTATACCTTCGATTACATTTTATTTACAAATTCTAATTGTAAGGAATGAAATTAAGGGTAAAATAAAAATCCTTTTTTTTTTAAATAAGAATTTTCCTCTTTTTCTTGTGAATATTATTTTAATATTATTCAATGTTTATAATTGTGTTGTGCTTGTGAATAAAATTTAAACTTTAGTATAGAATCGTAAAGTTTAGCCAAAAGTAAACAATTGAAATTGTATAATAAAGTCTGTTAACGGACACCTCTCTTGGGTGCGTAATTACTCTTGAATGAACAAAAATTATGATTAGATTCAAATTAGGTCAATATTGAACTGAAAAGTAATTATTTATATATGACTATACACCGATCTTAATAGGTCTTAGAAGTAAATCTTTATATGTACCAATATGAATTTGACTTGTCTTGTTCTGTTCTTTAAAATACGAGATATTATAGGTCATACAGTTCTTAAGGTACGTTAGGTAATGTCTAGCTCAACCTGGCATTGCTATTTGAACACAGCATTGTTAATACTAATTATGGCCACTTTGTAGACGATTACCAATACTACACTTTATCAGATTATAGAAATGCAACAATTCAGCAGTGCATTCTACATGCAGTCAACGCAGTCTATTTCTTATCCTAGGCAGGTCAATATTCAACTAGGATCATTGCGCCATTAATGATGGTGATGATTTTTTATCACATATTTATTATTTTGTAATAAATACTTAAATGTCAATATCTGCATTTTTATAAATATATCTGACTTTCTTCAGGCGTAGAAAAGAAAATACATTTAAGCTATCCGACAGTGTTATATAATTTCGTTTAACTACTGATCGCTATTAGTTTTCAACTAACTTTATTTCGTTTGCTGAATTAAATATTAATGGGAGTATGATTTTTTTTTGTTAAGTATTGTTTGTGATGAGGGGTAAGTAGGTTCTAATTGAAACTACCCAGTGTCAAAATCGATAATCAATTCTAGCCACTCCTATAAGTCGGAATCAAAGATGGGATTCCAAAAGCAGCTGGGTCTATGTCACTGAGACATACGCCAATCACGATGACAAAGCGTCACTCAATAGGGATTATACCAGCGCGATAACCACTTTGATGGGACGAAGCTATTCAGTACGATTCAAGTTAATGTGACTAATGATCAATTTTCTGAGGAATATATGTAACCACAAGACTACATTAGAAGTAGACGCATTTATATGTGAGAAATAACTATTTAGCAGTTACTGATATTTTCCTTATTCCGTCATTCTTATAACAGGTCCCTGCTAAAATAGTATTATTCTTTTGTGACAAAAAGTATATTATTATTAGTATTACTTTCTAGGCCAAAAACGCTTAAAGGACCTTCTACTTAAATATAAGTACATACAAGAAATTTTAATTTAGTAAGTAATTCTCTCATATCTGAAAACAATTTCGAGGTTTATATTTCTATTCCGACAGATATAACTATGGTGCACAATCTACAAATATCTTTGTAGCTGATAACGAACTTAAAAGGTTTTAACTGTTGCAGCAACTCACTGGATGAACAAATCATCTACAAGGATCCTACGTCAAAAAAAATGTTGAAAGTTGCATGGGTTTTTATAAATACGTTTTCCTCCAATGATTCTGATTATGTTGTATACAATTAAAATCTTTATTACATTTTTCAAGCATTACAGTTTTAAGTGAAGCAGTGCTTTGATAAGTATTCCGTTTAATTGTCTCTGATTTAATGCATGATTCCCTAAACACGCACAGCATCCATTATTACATCATTGATTAATTACTTCAACCACGGCAAGAATTCGATGCCTTTCTGATTGTTTCCTCATTTATTTACGGCGTATTCTTACTATCCGCCCTTGCAATCTTAATGTTAAATGTGTTTCCCCATTATTATATGATCCAATACAGTATTCTATATTATACTCATAATTTAGTCAGTAGATCACTGAAAAAAACTGATTTATTTTATATGATTTTAGTTAAAGCTTCATTTCGCAATTTTTCATATCAAATACTCAATCGTGATAAATCATTTCAATTAGCACTGCAAATGTATGCAGTTATTGTTGTAAATTTACAGAAGCATATATTTTATCAGTGCATATAAAACCTTTGTTTTTCATTCATTTTTCTTAGGATCAGTATGTTTTTGATTATGTTGTTATTAATGTTATGTTATAATATTTATGTATTAATAAGATAGTATTTAATATATAAGCAAATAAATTTTTAACAAATAAATTATTTATTAATAATTTTTAATTCAAAAATTTATATTAATAAAGCGCCATCTAGTTTTCACTTAAGTGCTTGTTAAAATTGCCGATAGAGGAAAAATACGAAATTAGTACTAATTTTCACAGCAGTAAGCAGCACTGTTGCTGTCATGTGATTGGTAAAAAGTTTTTTTCGCTGCTCAGTCACCTGTCACATAAAAATATAGATATTTTGTAAGTTTTTTCTCGACGCAATTGAAAAAATTGACTGCTTCATGTTTACTTAAATGATATAATAAAATTGTAAATATTTTTATTGTAGTATAAACGCGAAAAACTTTTTACAATGGCCGCCCAGTTACGCACTGTAGTTGGAAAAACATTTCTATGGTTCTTCATTGCCGTATGTGTCATACTCATCCTGATACAATTGCTGACAGGAAAAGGTGAGCGCGTTAGTGTCGGTTGGTTCTTGGCATCAACTTCGCCATATATGTGGGCATGTTTGGGTATTGGCCTTGCCGTATCGCTATCAGTTGTGGGTGCTGCCCTTGGTATACATACGACTGGCACCAGCATAATGGGCGGTGGTGTAAAGGCACCGCGTATTAAGACTAAGAATTTGATTTCTGTTATTTTCTGTGAAGCTGTTGCCATTTACGGTTTAATTACTGCCATTGTTTTCTCTGGTCTCTTGGAGAGCTTCCAGATGGAAATTGCATTGTCTAATCAAGTAGTCATGAACAATAACTGGACTGCTGGATATGTTCTGTTCGGTGCTGGACTTGCTGTTGGTTTGGTCAATTTGTTCTGCGGCATAGCTGTCGGCATCGTTGGATCAGGTGCTGCTTTATCCGATGCAGCGAACTCAGCACTTTTTGTTAAAATTTTAATTGTTGAAATTTTCGGTTCTGCCATTGGTCTTTTTGGCCTGATCGTGGGAATTTACATGACATCGAAAGTGAAAATGGGTGATAAGGAGTAAGCAGGTTGGAGTAGTACCAAAGTAAGCACAATTCAACCGTTTATCATTCATATACATATTTTTAATTTAACCTAGACTTCATGTTTTTATTCGTTTTTGATTTGGAACTTTATAAAAAAAATATTTTATTCAATATCTATTAAAGTACAAAATTTGTTAATAGTTTTTAAATATTAATTGTTTTCCATTATATTAAAAATGTTCTGTTAACTCATATAAAAAAAAACGAAATTTTAACTTATAACTTATAACTTATAAACTTCTGTATCCTGTATCTTTCATATATTAAACTGAACATCAGAGGACTTTTGTATGTACTACCAAAGCCCACGAAGCAGTCAATCAGTCATTCCCACAAATTTTGCATATACTAGAATTATAAAGAAATTACATCCCATCCACATCTATTAGAGATTAAACAGTTTCTCTTTATTTTAATGATGTTTCTTCGCGTTTATAAGATTGGAAGCATTGCGCTACAACAAGCAAATGCCAATGACGACTTAGTTACAGTGTTTATGTATTAAATTAATTAAGTAATTATATATACGAATAATTTTATTATGTAATTTAATTATTAAAATACAGATATTGTAAATTGATTATAAATTTATAAACTATAAATTGAGCTTGTGTAAATTCTGTCAAATACAGAATTTTTCATTCGATGAATCAGCATCAGTTAACATCAAATTTATCATCCATGGAAAACTGCGTCCTGACATGGATTTGACAAACTCAATTTAAATAATTTTACTTAAACTTAATGTTTTGCTTGAGTGATAAATTCAAGTTTTATTTTTGTTTTATTTTGAAACCATTTCAAATATGTATTTATTGTTATTAAAGCAAATTATTTACTCTTTTAAAAAAGAATAAATCAACAATTATATATTGAATTGTAAATTATTATATAATATTAGGAAATTGTATAAAGTAATCAACAAAAAAAGTATTCCATTTAAATAATAAAGTGTGTTGTTCGTTCTCTTTCAGGGAAAAAGTTCGGTTTTTATTTTAATTCCTAAAAAAAATGTGAATTCAACGAAAGTGGTATTCACGATCTCGAATAGAGTCCCATCCATCCACTCCCCTACCCATATATTCGTCTTGCAATCCTTACATGTGTAGCCCCGGCATAGTAACAGGGCAAAGCAGAAATAACAAAATGTATAACTGATAAAAAATTCTGCGTGAGAGATAAGACAAATATGGCCAACATCCTTTCTGCAGAGGCAGACATACCTCAAGAAAGCGTGCTAGGCCCAATCCTTTAACTCTTATATGCGGCTGACATTCCCACACCAATAATTCTGCGTGAGATATAAGACAAATATGACAAATATCCTGTCTACAGAGGCAGACATACCTCAAGCAAGCGTGCTAGACACAATCCTTTAACTCTTATATGCGGCTGACATTCCCACACCAATAATTCTGCGTGAGATATAAGACAAATATGACAAATATCCTGTCTACAGAGGCAGACATACCTCAAGAAAGCGTGCTAGACACAATCCTTTAACTCTTATACGCGGCTGACATTCCCATACCAACAACTAATGACGAAATGACTTTTGGAAATGATGTTATCCTGCAATCTGCTAATGAAGCCAATACAATAGCTATAAGTAACCCGCAAGGTCTTATTGACATGACAATTTATTGGTTCAATACATGGGTAGAAAGTAGAATGTAGTTTATTCTCACCGCTTTGCACTGTTACTTTATCATTAAGTTACATATGTTCTTCGAGATCGTGAATATCACTAATGAAATTTGTTAAAATTTATGGAGGCATTGTGCCAGTATCTTACGAGAACTTACATTTGCGCACCTTCATTCTTTAAATGTATATGAACGAAAATGTGGTCTGAAGTTCTAGTCAGGTCATCACGTTTCAGTTAGTGAAAATGCAGATGTTTCAAGTGGCGCTTTAAAAAATAGGCAATATGTATTTGTAGATAAATTGGGATGAAATGAAAAGAAGTTGAATTTCCTCGAGTAGCTAGAAAATTTTATTGATTCCAAATTTCTCTTAACATGTAGAAGTGGGTTGGTTGCTTTATAATTAACCATGATCATAGATTGATGAATGCGTTTCATCATTATACATTTATAATGGATTGTCCAATTTGTACGAAAGTGAGAATATCACCAAATGAGTTTAGTCCCTGTTAAGGATGTTATCCTATAGACTTTCTTAGGCATTGTTAAGTAATACTGCGCCCATCGTAGATGATTGAGTTTTATAAATGCCCCCATATTTTCTTTATTAGATAGGTCTAAAAGGTCCTAATTACTTCTTATGCTATTGTCGCTATTACATCCCGATACGGGCCAAGTAATTTTCGTGGTATTTTTCTTTCAAAAGCTTACAATAGATTTTTCCCACTTGTTAGAATTCGCATTAGAATAGACCGAATTACGATTTTGTAAAAAGTATATTGAAGTTCCGTGAAAGAAGTCGCATTATATCCTGAATGTAATGCCTGATTTATACGCGATTAGATATTTAATTTCTACGCAAGAGATGTTGTTAGACCCTACGATTTGCACCAAGTATAGCGAGACCAGCCTGATACCTGTTGTGTACAAGGTCCTTTGAACTGTACTGTGTGAAAGTTTAAAGCCACATGCCAAAACATTGATTGGGTCCTATCAGTACGGTTTCCGATCTGATCGCTCCACCAGTGACCAGATATTCACAATATCGACACCCACCACCTTTTTTCGATTATAGACTAGTTTTTGATTGCCCTTTAGGGGCTCGCGTTTACGCTGCAATGTCTGAGCTTGTTATCCATGTAAAGTTAATACAACTTTGCAGAATGACTTTGAGCAGTACCTATAGCTCGGTCAAGATAGGATGAAGTCTCTACGCAGCGTTTGATACCGTGCGAGGCTTCAGATAAGGTGATCCCTTATCATGTGATTTTTTTCAATTTTGTCATAGAAGTGATCATGCGCAAGGCAGATGTTTATCGTAATATAACTGTATTTTACAAATATGTCTTGCTCCTTGCTAAAGCCGATAACATAAACCTCTTTAGACGTAGCAAGCGTGATATTATAGCTGCCTTTGTCACTATCAAGAAATTATATGCAAAAATGGGCTTGAAACGCAATCTGTACAAGCTTTATCACGACATTGATATAATTCAGCCGGCTTCGCTGGCTTGGTCATGTCATGAGAATGGATGAAGACGCTTCAACAAAGAAGGTATTTAAAGCGGTGGTTGGAATAAGAAGACGTAGAAGTAGACAGTTTCTCTGGAGAAGTTAACAAGTTGAGGGGCCACTATTATTACCATATTTTCATATAATGCTCTATTATATACTTTCTACTCTTTTATTTCAACTTTTAATAATATCTGTGTCATTCGTGTAATATAAACGTACAACGAATATTTGAGCTTGATTTTTAAGAGTATTTTGACAGCATAATAAATAGTACTTATTGTGTTGTTATAAGGGAGAAGAGTGTTAAAAATTACATTACTCACAAATTCGATATCTAGCGTTATCACAGCATTTTGGAATTTTCCTTGATATATTGCATATCTGTTAATATTGAGAATTATTGTAATACTACGTTTCCACTACGTACTTAGTAAGCCATATAGTAACATTGAGCTTTTGGTCGTTTACATTATGGAAAAGAGCTTTTATGTGTCAAGAAGTTACTTAAGAAATGAGAAAGAGCTTTTATGTGTCAAAAAGTTCTAGTTTTAGAGCTTTTGTTTGTTTACATTTTAATTGTAAGCAGATGACATTAAATTTTGTATTGATAGAATGTTAGTTTTGAATTTTGAGTGTTTGTTTATGGTTTGTTTCATGTGTCAAATGTTCCAAATTCCGATAATTTCCAATGTTGCATTCATCATTTTTGGTATAATTTTGCTTACTATATGCTATAGTAAGTAAAAAAGCACAGAAGCTATTTGTATGGTAAATGAAATTTACTCAGTACGATAAGCTTGCTAAGTACGTAGTGGAAATGGCCTATAAAGCTCATATTTGTAAATACAAACTCATATTTGTAAATAGTAAAGCTTGTTGCTTAAAAAACGGAATCTAATATAATATATATGCCACTTTAAGACAAAACACCCTGTATATCTAATAAATTTGATTAGTAGCATTTGTGAAAAAAACTTTACAACACTGTAATTTTACGGTTCGTACTGTCAAATATTTTTATTTTCCAAATCTTTGAAAATCAGTTTAATTGAATGGAGAGATTAAGTTCAAAACAATGTCGAATATGAAAAAGGACATTGATTGCTTGCCATGTCGTTTAGTAAGCGGATTTGGTATAATAGGTATTGGCACTTATTTATATACACAAGCCAATAAGCGTAAAGGATTTCATAAAAATATAATGGTTGTTATCTCTGCTGGCAAGTAATCGCAACTATGAATTAAATATATAAAAAATTACAACTGTTCGATTTTCTTTACAGGTGCTGTTGGGTTAGGAGTAGCACGTCTTTTAAATATGCCGTTTCTTAAAGCTAATAAATAATAGACAGTTTTTAGTAAAAATTTGATTTTATTTATTCATCACTATCACTTATACTTTCATCAGCTTCATTATCATCGTCTTCCTCATCTTCGTCCCAATGTTTGATTTTTTTATTGGTCATAAAATCATCTCTCAAAACATTCCATTCTGATTTCTTTTTGTGCGTACCTCCACCATTCTGTTCTTCATCACTACTGCTTTCCCCTTTAATTTCATTTTTGATTGAATTATCTACTGCTTCAGACTTTGCGCGTTTACCAGACATTAACACATCGAGGAATTTACGTTTATTTATGTTATTTAGAACTGCTTCCTGCCGGCTATCTAATTTTCCGGCTTCGTCAAGTTGATTTTGCAAATCTTTTTGTTGCATACGCACCGCATTAAATAATTGCACTACGCCTTTTGTGGCTATCTTGCGTAATGTGCGCTCACGTTCAATATCCTTCCAGGTAGGTTTCACACGCAATTGCAGTTGCACATTCTTACGCTGTGTGAGTTTATCATCTAATTCGTCTTTATCTGGCTTTTCTTCTTTGATTTCACCTTCTACTTCGAAACTATAGCTTTTCGTTTCTGGTAATTTACTTTGTGATTTAATTTTTTTTGCTCGCGACAAGACAAGTGTTTTTTTTGTTTTTGGTTTTGTGGTATTCAAAACTTTGGCAATAGAGTCTGCCCAACCTGCATTGCCTGTTCCATTCTGCTGTTCATCCTCGTCACTTGTTCGATCACTGCCATCGTCACTGAGTGTGCCTGAATTTTCTAAATTAATTAAAAGACAAATTTTTGTTTAAACATTAATTTGTGGCAATAATAAGTACCTTTAATGGTTTTTTCTTTTTTTAATGCAGTAAATGCCATATTTTTAACGAGAACTATAGCAACATATGTCCAAACTAATATGAAATTGTTTATTTTGATATGACTTCACGTGCACGCATAAGGGTTGCCATATCGCTATTACAGTAATCATTGCAAAACGTCAAAATTTTTTTCTTGGTATTGCCGGCCATTAATTGTGACAGCACTTATCTTCTCATTGTTTATTCTTCCAAAAACATTTAGCATCTCGTGAAAAATGTTAAAAGTTAAGTTACAGGCGTTAAATCATCCCACTCCAGATGATTTGGATGTGAATGGTATGTTTTTTGTGTTTGATACGAGCATTACATTTGATAAAATTTATTTCATTAGATCGTAAGGTATTTGCAAGCACTATTCTATGGCTGGAGGACCAAAAGATACGTCAATATAAAATTGAAGATCGTGAAAAATTAAGGCAAGTAGATAAGTTGCCGGTTTGGGAGAAAGCATATGCTGAATATAAATCTGATCTCGGTATGCCGAAATACAAAACACCGCTTGAAGAAATATCTTGGATGTTGGGATATGCTGTACGGCTAGAATTCTTAGATGAACCTGATAGATATGCAAGTATCAATTCCCAAGAAGTTGGTGCAAAGCAAAAGAAATCAATTGCACCTAGTATTAAAGCAGAAAATTTCTTCGACAACATGGATTGTACGTATTTTGATAAATATATTTCTCATATTTTATTTCTTTTGTTTTTTTTTAAGTTAATAATAAGGACTTCATAGCTGGTGTACGCACATTGGCCAGCAAATTACAAGTACCACATCATCCTAATCATTTGATACAGCTTGAAGCCATTGCACGCCTTGTGAAAGAGCGTTTATCACCAGCAGCGAAGAATCGTAAACCAATTGTTGGTACACCCTTTCCATTTGAAAAAGGTGAAGATGTTGTTTCCCCTAATGATAAGGATTTAGATTATCCTGTTCGTATCATGCGGCTACTGCAGATTCAAAGCTTACGAGAACTACAAACACGTATAAATGAAACAATCGTCGCTGTGCAGGATTTAACAGCGAACCCTAAGACTGATACAAAGTTAGGCCAAGTTGGACGATAAGCAATATGCATTACATTACAAAATAATTAAATAAATGTAACCACACAAAGCAACGACAAAATACTTATAACTTATTCTAAAAACAAGTGACCAGTTTAATATTAACAAATCCATATTAAAATGCCTTTATAACGTTTTAGCTCGCAAATATTTTATTCATAACCTAGTAAGAATTAAAATTAATTAATGCATGCGATTGTATTTCGTTATTAATAAATTATTTAATTATTAAGCATTGTGTTTGGCTTGGTGAGTAAATCTGCAGAGGATTTGCAGCATATAATGTTATTGGTAAATTCCAAATCATTGTCTCGACTGGTATCTCAGCGGGTGCTTTAAGTTCCCCCGATTTAGGATTGGGTTGTCCAAAATCCAACATAGTGCTAGTTACAAATTGAAAATGCAGGCGCCATTTTAACTCTACTAAATCAGTACGGAATGTTGGAGTCACTGTCAATGGAATAGGTAAAATAATCTGCGTCTGTAGCATAGCATAGCAAACTTCATGGCTAGTAGAGTATGTTGTTATTTTCCCCACAGGCTCTTCCACTTCCTTGTGTCTAGCACTAGCTGATGTTGCTGATTTATGTAAATTATCAACAGCTGTACCACTCGCAATACTTGCTAAATCCAATGAGTTAACTGATGATGTATCTGTACAATCACCACTCGTTGAAGTATTATTTCGTAGAGAGATTTCTTGCGATTGTAATTTTACGGAAAATTGCACGCACCGTACTTTAGAATTTGTGAAGTCTACACTGCCAACTATGTCTTCACCAAGTTTGTAACAAGGCTTGAACAGGCAGAAACGGCCTACAAAACCGTGTTTATTTGAAATACGATAAAATTTTGGTGCACGGCGTGATGTGATATTCTGTGAACCGAAAATAATGTTAGTACCTTCAGAATAATTACATATAAATGATATTAAGACCTTTAAATTATGCCATGAGATTTCCAATTCGGATATTTCGCGTTTCTCCAAAAATGGATTTGTAGGCGCAAGTTCATCATTTGTGTCTTCTGTGCAGTGTAAATCGTCTGGTCGTGCTATAATTGGTATAGGCAATACGCGTATAGGTAAGGTAAGAGTTTGTACCTAGAAAAAATACTTTAGTTTACAACTTTATTAAATATTAAATTATTACCTTTGATTTAACCCGTTGTGTTGCTATTGTTATTTTATAAAAATACCTTATATCATGACCACGAAAAGTTGGTGGACCATCGCGTGGTATAAGCTCGTTGAAAAAATCTATAAAACCACTTATTTGAAAAGAAAGTTAATAAATTTAAATGAGAGCTTACATGTTTTTGTTTCTCCAGGCTTTAGTCTTAGATCGCAAAACAGAATTTTTGGTTTCGTATCTACGATGACATCACCTGGAGTTTGGGTCACCGCGTCAAGTGCTGTTTTGCCAATTAGGTCAGTTAACTCACTCACTTTATCCTGGGTGGCAACATTATAACTCGTCTTTCTGTAACAATGGAGCTGCACTGTTGCCCAAGCTAAGTTTTCTATTCGGTCACTACAATATTCATGGCAGTTCAACTTATTTATTATTGCTATGTACTCCAAAGTCACTCACTTGTTCTCATTGTTATCATTATTACCAGCTTTATGTATAAATTCGATTAGGCATTCGACATTTTCGCCTGTGGCATAAATCGAGGAATCTGCACGAACTAATTTGGCTTTTATTTCAATCATATTTGTTCTAATTTAATTAGGAAATACAATATAAAAATAAATGTATAAAACTAACATTTAAACAAATACTCCAAATAAAATGGCGATTCGCAGTGCAATGACAAGAGTTGCTACCAAATTAAATTTATTGGGATTATCATGATAAAGAAAGGAGTTATTCAGCCGTGCTTTGTACATACGAGTTACCGATGCATCAGTTTGGAATTTTTTACGGATTCAAATTTTGAACTGAAATTTGAAGTTTTAATCACTAAAATTAGTAAAAAAGAGTAAAAAATAAATATATATTATTTTTACCGCATCAAAGTTCAGTTATTTAACACTTAAAATGGTACTAAGAAACACTTATTAATTTGTATTAAAATTTAAATATGTTTAAAAAAAATATACATATATTTCGGTATACTGCGTATCAGAGAATATCTTTTTATGGTGTATTGACCAATATTTTTGGTACTTAAATATTTCTTTGTTTATATTGTTCACCACTTCCCACAATTTGTATATAACATTTTTAAATTTTCGGCGTTTTCCATTTCAAAAGAATTATTTCACACATTTTGAAAATTTTTCACTGACATTAATACGTAAACAAACGAAAGTTCTTTCTTAGTTTTTTTTGATATATAAAAGCACTTTCAACTGCATTAATTAAATCATTATAATGTGAACGCTCAGATTTTGAACTCATTTATATAGATGAATGAGTGCCTAAATGAAGCGCTGCAAACATGCTATAACTTGCCATTTAGTTGACAATTTGGTTACCCTAAAATATTTTACTATATTGACATGTTTTTTGTTTACATTATTTTGTAAAAATATGATAAAAATATAAATTATTTCATTTAAATAAATTATATTAATATATATTTACGGACCTATTCTGTGCACTTTGTAAAATTGTCAAACATTGACATTTGTCAAAATTGACTGCTGTAAAGGTTATGGTATTCTGTGACATAAATAAAAAGCTCTTTTCCTTGTTAGTGTTAGTTAATACCTCAAATGCTGTTGACAACTATAAAAATATGCTCTTTTTAAGCATTTTTTATTATTTGCATGCATGACAAATATTCTTCACTAAAATATACGCTCCTTACAAGTATTTTTTTTATTGCGATTTGAATGCATGAAAAATGCTTTCGACAATTTAATATATATGCTCTTTTTTACGAACAGTTACGAACAATTACCAACAGTTTTATATACAACACAACTTTACACCATAGTGTGGTGAGAAGCATTAGGTACTTCAGCTTTGAAATTTGTCAAGATGTGTCCAGAATACCAAAAAGCTTTCTGCTTTATAAAAATCAAAAATTTTAATTAAGAATTTGACAAATTTGTCAAGTGCACAGAATAGGTCCGTTAATGTATTAAGTATATCAATAAAGGAAGTTTTCAATTGATTTCACCGTTCTAATATCACTTTAAAATTTTGATGTTTTCTACAGTTGGGAGATATGCTTGACGTATTGAATGGTTGATAGATATCTATAATACGACAAATTTTTAGAATGTGTTGTGCATTTGAAAGTTAATAAAATATATACAAAATTTATGATATAGTAATATCGACAGTGTCGGAATTGTTATAATATCACTAAAAATATGTAGTTTGATCACAAATTTTCGTTACAAACTGCGAGTTTGGAACTAACGACGCAAACCCACTAAAGCTTTATTATTTTTAAGCTTTGGATTTATTAACCAAAAAATGAATACGTAAATTTTGTTTTCATTATTGTATTAGGATTGTATTACAATATATATTAAATTAAATGCGACTTAGTGCATGAAATACATATTATTTATTTTGATCCAATTTTAAGTTTAATCCATCCAAATAAAAAATTTTACAACACATACAATTTTCGTACAAATGTGGTAACACTAATGTTTGGGGAATTTATATGAATTTCCCTATCACAATGAACTGACATATCTGTCATGTTTTCTCTCTTTCGCCAATCGTCAAGTTTCCGGTACGTACGCGATTTTTGTGCTCATTAATACAAAATTTAAATAAATAAATATAAAAATGAAAACAAATGCTAAAAATTTTAGTTGAATTCCACCAAAAATATCCCGTAAAAATTTTATAAACAAAAATTGGCTCTTAAACTTGGTCGTAACAAAAGATGTTTGTGGATAAAAAATCGTGAAAAAAACAAAACAACTGAAATGTCTTACTAAAAAGTAGTAATTCGAAATAAATAGCATTTGTTATCATTTTTGTGAATAGTATTAGACATTTCTTTTTTATGTTATTAATGTGTTGGAAGATTTCAAGTTGCTAACTTTTGGTTATTAATTGTTTACATAGATAGTAATGGCTGATACACAAGCTAAACCAGCTGCTGCACCTGCCGCTAAAGCCACAAAGGCTCCAAAAGCTAAGGCACCAAAGCCTGCTAAAGCGCCAAAAATCGAAAAGACCACTGAAGTCAAATCGGCACCAAAATTGAAACGTCATGGACGTCTATTTGCTAAGGCCGTATTCACTGGATACAAACGAGGCTTGAGAAATCAACACGAAAGTCAAGCTATCTTGAAGGTAACAACAAAATTAATATAAAATTTATTGTTAACTAAAATTAACAGTTTTTTTTCTCAGATTGAAGGTTGCCGCAGAAAGGAACATGGTCGTTTCTACATTGGCAAGCGTTGCGTGTATGTCTACAAAGCTGAAACTAAAAAGTGCGTACCACAACATCCAGAACGTAAAACTAGACTTCGTGCAATCTGGGGTAAGGTAACACGTCTACATGGTAACACTGGTGCAGTGCGTGCACGTTTCAACAGAAATCTGCCCGGTCAAGCAATGGGACATCGTATTCGCATTGTAAGCTTGATTTATTATTGTGTATGTGTGTATGAGTGATGTGGCCAGTAATTTGGAAAATGAATCTTTAAATAGATTTCAACCACTTAAGAAGTGTGGTGTGTTGAATGGGCATTTTTTTAATTGCCACAGTGAAAATGAGAATTTGTGATAGTTTATTATGTTTTATAAATTAAAATATAAATTGTGAATTTTTTCTTTTTTGCAGATGTTGTACCCATCAAGGATTTAAGTTAAAATTTAACTTTAATTGACCCAACAAATTGCTTTTTTTTTTAAATAAAACTACATTTGAAAAACTTTATGTGAATTATTGTTAATGGATTCATTATAAACACACTAGATTAAAAAGCAAATATAATCTAAGGAATACATGCGCACCAGCAACAACATTTTATTTTTAGGAATATCAGACGCTGATGAATTACTGATTTAAAATACATTGAGTCACTTATAATTAATAAAATCGATTTAGACGAGTTAGCCATAAACATCGACTTTTATACCAAACACGATTTCACAACTTATTTTTCTAATGCGACACAAATTATGATAGACATTCAGTTAGCTCTGGAACTATATTGTCTTATTTGGAAACTTGATATAATTTTGTAATAGTGAATAGTTTTTGGGCTTTAACACTAACATTATATCAAGAAGACATAAGAATAAAAGTACTGTTCAGTTATTTCTGAGAATTGTGCAAAACAGATGTCCGGCTTGAGGCTTTCATTAAAAACGTTATTCCAGAGTTGTTCTCTTGGCATATAGGTAGAAAGCTATAATAATTGAAAGTAAATTCGTTTTATTTTCGCTAAGCAATGACCTATTAAAAATATGATAAGAATAAGAACAAGGACACTCGGGGTCTGAGCACTTAAAAGTTAAGCAATTAGCAGGGTCTAACAGAATAACAACTGAATTCGCTAGATATTTAATACGGAACCTACGGGTATACGGAACCCTTATTAGACGCGCAGTTACATTGATGCATGGGTAAAACTAAATTCAAAATCATTCCTACTGGTTGTAGTCATCTACAATTAGAGTTTGAAAACGATCAATCTTAAATACGTTATTTGAGTACCTAAAGGTTTTTTGTGAAAAAAAGAAACAAATTTTAGTTTTGAGTTTTTTTACTTCTGGTCAAAGCGCTTTGTTATTTCAAAAAGTTTAGAGAATTTTAAACAACCAAGTAATAAAGTTGAAAATTTTTAATATCATTTTGTGAATGAATTTACAAATTATATATTAACATAAAGATTTTATATTAAAATATGTGCTACTATTTTGCAGTTTAAATTTTGAGTTACTAATTTTCAGCTACTAAAATGCCTAAATAAAAGCACTTATAGAAGTGCGAAATGTAAAAATTATTTAATATTCTGGAATACATTGGTCCATATATCTTTCTACTTTCTATTATTATGTTTTTACTTATGGTATCTCTATGATAGACTTTCTGTGTCACACATAGAGCGGTTCAGCATGACAAAAGTCAATGCAGGCGTGCTGCATTGGGGCGAATGATCTATAAATTATTGATTTCTGATGTGTTTCTCTAACTAATAAAACAACTATTGTTACATATGATGATGGTACTGAATAGTTAGCATCTATAAAAACCGCTAAAGAAGCATCACAATGCTGACAATGTATAATTCAAATATTAACGTTAATGTGGAAAGGACTGTACAAGTTACTTTCACGAGCAGAAAAGATGATACACCATGATATTAATTATGGTATATAAAACTGTTATCCAAAAATAATATAGTGAAACATTTGCTTAAGCATTTTGACAGATGGCTCAATTGGAGTAAACATATGGTGTCAAAGCAGTATTAAAACCTTTGTGGGCAATAATGGAGCACATCAATTCACTCAAATTTCAAAATTATACAAAAGTATCAATCCCAAACAAATATTCTAAAAGATGTGAATATCTTGTCTATGTTCAAGGAAGTTAGACGTACTCTACAAAAGAACCTCAAAGACTGAGTGACCGCATCAACTAAGTTGCAATAATTTTACTGGATAGAACTAATGACGTGAGAAGACTATAAAAGTAACAAGTTGTAGACCTAACACAGAAATTTAACTGTAATGTTAAACTTTAATGGCACGTTTAAATTACTATATGTTAAGTTATACGGAACTGAAAATCTTCTATCAAAAATAAGAGCTTTACTCATTATCGCCATATAATAGATTGCATCTAACTATTATAAACAAAACTCACTAATTTATTTTTAAATTACATTATAAATCACAGATGTAAATAGTTTTACTTATTATCACCATATAATAGATTGCAATTAAGGCCGTGTGCGAGTTCGAGTAAATTGACGTAAAGTAAATTGAAATTTCTTAGGGATTGTTTGCACTGCACTTACGTAAATATTTATTTATTGCAATTAGTTATTATTTTTGGTTAAAAGTTTTTAAATTTATTTATTATACATCTTATAAAATTTTCACAATGGTAACACCTAATTTAACTAATTTTTATCTAATTGACCTTATACCAACATTCGCTGCCATACCGACATAATTTACTATTTCCCTCAATTTATCATCAATTTACTCGAACTCACACACGACCTTACTATTATAAACAAACAGGGATATTTTTAAAAATAAATTTTATTTTATTTTTTTTTTTTTGAAGTTCACTGTTTACTAAATTTACTAATTTATTTTTAATAACTAATACTTAAAAAATTTCAAATATAATTAAATATTATTCTGAATTCGTTTATACTTATAAATTTGTTTAGAATTACAAATTTAAAATTAAAAAATTTTTTTTAATCTCTCATACACTGTGTTCAAGCTACGAGTTGATCTAATCAGGGTTCCCCAAAGTCTTATTGAATACCTTAAAAATACTTATATATTCGTTGCCATATATTAATATCAACGATTATACTACCTTTTAAACTTTTATTAACGTCAAAATATAGAAAGATTACAGAACATATTTTGTTTATATCAATAGCA